ATGCATTGAATCTTCTATAGTCTGCCCTATTCATTGTCCAACTATCAGTGTGTAAAATGGAGAGGGCTTCGAAAAGGTTCATGGGAAAATGGAATGAAAAGATTCTGGGATTTTCCACAAACTTTTCAAAGTCCCCTAGTATAACAAATCATTTGCCATGTCACCCGTTTTTCATGTACATTTCACTGACATTAATCAAATTCGAATTCATATAGTGTTCTTCAATGCTCCGAAGTGTTACTTTCAATACCATAGAAATGATCTGTCTTCTTTTATGATTAGGACTTTGTGTATTAAGAAATGTGTTCCTACAATATAACCCTAACAAGGAACAAGTAAATTCTTGATGACTCTTTATGCAATCATCTTCAAATTATAGTTAAAGAGAAAAAATGAGATGAAGAAACAGTTGCCACCCCTAAAAAAATGGACTGGGCTTCCCTTCTGCATTTAATAATTCATTTCAGTGACTGCACAGAACTTGCAGATAATACAGTTCATTAGGAAAGAAACAGGTTACAGTTCAGCACGCAATTCTTCCATCAGGATGGCTTCCTCTCAGCCATGCCTGCAGGCACATCTCTCTCTGGTTCTCAGTGACTCTTGGCCCTGCAGTCTCCTAGCCTGGCCCCCACTCTGCAACCATTGCAAAGCTCTTTTAGTTCAGCCAATTAAACGCCCAGAGGCACCTTAAGTGCCCCAACAAGTCTCCTGCCTAAAGACACTCATTAATATTACTTGTCTAAGTCTCCTTGGGGTGCATAGCAGCTCCGTAGGATAAGCACTGGATTTCAAACCACAAGGTTGACAGTTCGAGCCTATTAGTCACTCTGCAGAAGAAAGAGGAGGCTTTCGGCTCCTGCAAAAGATTGACAGCCTTGGAAACATGTAAGGCTCACTATGAGTCGTAGCCAACTCCACAGCACTTAACAACATCCACAAGTTTCCTTCCGGTGCCTCCAAGGAAAAAAAGGTCCAATCAAAACAGTGACTTCCAAGAGGATCTGCTGGGCCAGAGACAGAGAGATAGCTCAGAATGTTATGGCAAATGTTTTTGGAGATTCAAAAAGGGTCATTTTGAAAGATTTTCTCAAAGGACACAGGGTGATCATGGGGATTTATTAGGAAGAAGTTTGAAGAAAAGTGAAAATTGCATTGGACAAAAAGGCCAAGGAAATTTTTCCATCACAAAAATGTACCTGCTCATGGTTTTTGAGAGCAACAAGGGCTATCCTCCAAGAACTGGAAAACCTTATCCCATCTGCCTTATATCCCTGACCTTGTCCCTTCAGATTTTTTGTGTTTCCAAAACTGAAAAGGAACACAATTTGAGTCCCTCAAGGATGCCATAACTGTTGTGACATGGTGTAAATCAAGGGTTGCAGACTTCTTTGGGGGTGGAGGTGGGGGTGGGGGTTGTTGTTGTTGTTGTTAAGTGCCGTCGAGTCGGTTCCGACCCATAGCGACCCTGTACAGGGTTTCCAAGAGACCTAGAATGGGAAAATATGTCAAAAAACTAGCTTCACACTTGGATATTTTGTTTCATGAAGGTTTGTAGGATTTTGAAGCAATACTTTTTGACTTACCCTAATACCTATTGTTTCTCTGGTAGCGTAGTGGTTACAAATCGAGCTGCAAACCTTACGGTCAGCAGTTCGAAACTACCAGCTGTTGCGCGGGAGAAAGATGAGGCTTTCTGCTCCCATAAACAGCCTAAGAAACCCTATATACAGGGTCGCTGTGAGTCGGAATTGACTCCATGGCACATAACCACCAACCACCAGTACCTATTGTATCATGGATGAACCATGAAACTATGATGCAAAGTGAAAGAAGTCAGACACAAAAAGCCACGTAGTGCTTGATTCCGTCTGCAGTATATGTCGTTAGGCACCATAGAGTTAGTTCTAATGCATGGGGACCCTGTATAGAGTTCCCCAGGAGCGGCTGATGGGTTTGAACCACCAACCTTGCAGTTCAAACCGACCTTGCAGTCCAGCGCATTAGCCTGCAGGGCCACACCAGGACCACAAAATCATTTGGTCTGGCCCTGCCAAAGTAACAGCAATTCCAGCCATCACATCAGGGATGAGCTAATTAATACGCCAGACGGCAAAGTCAGTGGTTCAAGCTCACGAGCAGCTCCTCAAAAACCCTACACAGGGTTGCTATGGGTCGGAACCAACTTGACGGCACTTAACAACAGCAGCAATTGAATGTTTGGGAGTCCTGGTGTGGCACTGTAGGATAAGTACTTGACCATAAGGTCAGTTTGACCCTCAAGGTCAGCGATTCAAACTCACCAGCCACCCCTTGGAAACGCTATACAGGATTGCTGAGATGGAATCAACTCAGTGGCACTTAACAATTGTTTGACCAAATACAGCAGGCTAATTTTTAAGTTGATTATTTTGAATGATTCACTAATATTATAAATTTGGACAGAAAACAAAAGGTTCCCCACCCCTGCTGTATAGGGTTTCCAAGGAGTGACTGGTAGGTTTGAACAGCAGACCTTGTGGTTCAAACTGACCTTGCGGTCCAGCGTTTAATCTTATAGTACCACACCAAGACTCCAACACCAGGGTATGGACGGTCCAAAAGAGGTGAAGAGAGATTAGTGGTCGCCAGGGGGTCCGGAGGAGGAAAAGGAGGAGTGGCTACTAATAAGTATAGGGTTTCTACTTAAGGTTACACAAATGCTATGGAATTAAATAGTGGGGATAGTTTCACAATCTTATGAATATACTAAATGCCACTGAGTTGGCTACTTTGTAGTCTATGAATTATATTTCAATAGAGAATAATGGATTATGACCTGAGCTGCTAGCTACAATGTCAGCAGTTTGAATCTGTCAGCTGCTTCTCCGGAGAAAGATGAGGCTCTTTGCTCCCGTGAAGATTTACAGCCTCGGCATGGACTCAGTAGGTGGTAGCTTCCCTTGTTCCTGTAACATTCTAAAGAGCTGTGGTGGAGAGCTGTGGGTTACTGAATTCAGAACACCTGGCTTTCTTCTTAGGCTGGTTACTACCTTCCAGCAGGATCCTACCTGGGGAATGGTTAGAGACTTTCCTTCCGTCCACCCAGCATCTGAATTCCTTTCCTCTGCTTAGGAAGCCCCAACCATTCACGTGGAAGCTGCATGCTCTTCCAGAATGCCTTGGAGCTAGATTTGGGAGCACATGATGGGGGTTGGTTTGCTTCTGTTGCTGATGTGATGGGAATGGGAGGGGACAGTGGCTAATGCTGTTAAGACCAGGCAGAAGCCAGCAGCCAGGGTAGCGGCAGGCATGGCAATGTTTCAGCAGTGCCAAGTCCAATGTGCAAGAGCAACAGTTGTCTGATCCCAGCACAGCTCCTCAGCGCCATCTTGTGCACTGTTCTGGGTAGTGCAGGTCCAAGCCTAGCTCCCTCCCCAAGACCCTGACTGCCTTCCAGGATATTCCACTGAACATCTTTCAATAAACTCCTTTCCTGGTTAACCAACCCAGAGTAGTGACTTGGTGCTAACAAAACCAACCCTTATGTAAGCCCATACAAGTGTTAGCTGTTTGTGGCAGACAGAATAATGTACTTCAAGAGGGCCACATCTTTGTGGGCTTGCAGTTGAGTGATGTCATGCAGTAAATCACATGCTTTATGGATACAGAAATCTGCTGTTTCCAAGGATGGCCCTAGATAATACCTGCCTGTAGTTACATGAATTGTCCACATCTTAATCCTGTGCAACCTGTGACAGACGTGGAACATTCCAGGCAAAAGAGAGCTTGCAGATGTGATTACATCAGGGGATCTTGTGATGGGAGTTGACCCTGGGTGAGCTGGGTAGACCCCATGTCATCATAACTGTCTTTATGAGGGAAAGAGGGAGGCAGGAGGAGGCTCAGAGTAAGTTTAGAAGGTGCTAGCTGCTGGCTTTAAGGAGCTCTGGTAGAGTAGTGGTTGTGAATTGAGATACGAACCTCATGGTCAGCAGTTTGAAACTACCAGCTGTTCCACGGGAGAAAGATGAGGCGTTCTGTTCCTGTAAAGATTTACAGCCTCGGAAACCCTGTACAGGGTCACTGTGAGTTGGAATTGACTCCACAGCACATAACCACCATAACCACCACCACTTTGAGGATAGAAGGGACCATGAGGTAAGGAACGCAGGTGGCCTCTAGAGGTCAGGCAGGTAATGTAACAGTTTCTCCCTAGGTGTGTCCAAAAGAACTCAGGCCCATTTCAGACTGAAGAACTATGCTATGTCTGTAGTCACTTGCTACAGTGGAATCTACCAAATGCCAGGAGTGGCCTTTACCCACTGTTAGAACACCCTTGCACCACCCCCAGGACCCTCTGGAGTGGTGACCACCCCCACACCTGTTCAGAGCCGATGGCCACACACCTGTGACTTGTCAAGGTCAAATTTCAAGGGAGCAGTTCTATCCTGTAACATGTGGAGTCAGAACTGTCTCAAGAGGCAATGGGGTTCGGGTTTCTTGTTCTGTTTTTCGGTCTCAGTATTATGATGTCATCCAGTCGGTCCAGACTTGGAGACCATTATGGAAGGGAGCAGATCTCAAGTGTGAGTGGTTCCCCACGGGGCATCTGCTAACTAAGAGACAAACGGCAGGGCCCCCATTCCTCCTCCCCCTGTACCTAAGCGACTCCTGGGAAGGCAGACAGAGGGCTAGAGACGGCCAGGCAGGGGCCACAGGTTTATTGGGGGCTCCGCGTGCACGTGCGCGCACACACACACACACACACACTCACTGCATCACATGACAATGGCACGGTTAACTCAATACACGCACAAAGTAATCTCTGCCCTTGGCTGAGGCCCAAAGGTGAGTTGGGAGGGCATCCTTCTCCCTGTGTCCCAGACCCAGCTGGGTCCCTTCCTCCTGTGTGGCTGGGGGAGGGGAGGCTAGAGGTGGGCTGGGGCCTGGCAAAGGGAAGTGAGTGGGGGGCGGACAAGTCCTGGGAGGCTGGTCCGGGCGGGGCTCGCCTGCCCACCTCACTCCAGAGACTGCAGCATCAACAACTGTTTCAGCACCTTTGTCTGGCTGGTCTCCCGGATCTCCCCAGCCAGGAACATCTCATCCACAACCGTGTAGACCTGAATGGAGCAGGGCCAAGAGGAAGACGCCAGTGTGAAGGAGGGGGGCGCCCTCAACACCTTCATGCCCAGGAGTCAGGAACTGGACATCTGACATTCCCAGCCTCCCCCTGGTCTCCAACTTCTCCCCTGAGAACCTACCTTATAAAAGTTGAACACCAGATCCAGCTCGCAGACGTTGTGGAAATATTCATTTAAGACCTACGAGGAGAAGACAAGGTGGTAAGCTTACCAGCTGCTCCTGGGAAACCCTATACGGGGGTCCCCGTTATGGGTTGGAATCGATTCAACGGCACTAAACAACAACAACAAACCTCAGGTCAAGATGACAACAGCAACTTGAAAGATTAGATGGGAACCGTGGGAGGAGGGGGGCAATGAGTTTATGTTAACAAGGGAGGAGCTCAGAAATGGAGAGAAAGGGGCTCAGGGGCTCGTCTGAGTTCGCTAGTGCTGATATGATGGCAATGCCATAAGCGGGTGGCTCTAAGAAACAGAAATTGATTTTCTTACAGTTCGGGAGACTAGAAGCCCGAATTCAGGGTGCTGACTCAGGGAAGGCTTTCTCTTTTGATTGGCTCTGGAGGAAGGGTCTCATCTCTTCTGAACTTCTGCTCCTGGGGGATCTGCATGGGCCTTGGCATTTCTCTTCCCCCACCCATCTCTGCTTGCTTATTCAATCCCTTTCATATCTCCAAAGACACCGCCACTCCAATCCTGCCTCCTTAACCTATCACTTTGTTACATTAATAAGGCACATCGGATTTTTAACCACACGTATAACAGGTAGGCCTTACATTACTTATTTGGAGGGGACAGTGAACCACATGGTTGGCGGTTTGAGCCCACCAGCTGCTCCACAGGAGAAGCTTTCTGCTTCTGTAAAGATTTACAGCCTTGGAAATGCTATACAGGGACTCTATGAGTTGGAACCAACTCGACAGAACTTAACAACAAGGAGGGGCCTTCACAAAGTGTGTGGACAAATTCCAATGCCTTTCAATTCCATTTTCCACTATTTGAAGATAGATAAATATGGATATACACAGACTAGCTAGACATTGTTGTGAGGTGCCACTGAGGCAATTCCAACTCACAGTGACCCTGTATAGGGTGTCCAAGGAGCAGTTGGTGGGTTTGAACCACCGACCTTGAGATTAGCACTCCAATGCTTATCCTACAGCACCACACCAGGACTCCAGACTAGCTACACAGACAGATAAAGAGAGATCACATACAGTTGCAAAGGAGGGCATTGTTGGTCAAACTCTGAAAGGGAGAAATAGGAGCAAATAGCATCAGATGGGAACAGACCAACGCGGCAAAGAAGACTGAGGCGGGGGAGAGAGCCACAAATGGACGGACACAGACAGACCAGCATTGCTGGAGCAGATATAAACACATAAGGAAAGACAGACAAAAAGAAAGAGGAGGTGGGTGGAGAGAGAGGAGTATGAGGGCGGCTACACATGCCCACCGTGCCTGCCCCACCCAGTTCACCCACCTCCACGAAGTTGTGGATGGCCTCCAGGTAGGCTAGGTTGTTATCATTGACGTCCACACAGATGCAAAAGTAGAGGCCGGCGTAGCGTCGATAGATGATCTTAAAGTTCCGGAACTGTGGGCAGGAGAAACCATTAGCAATAGAGTATGCCCAGGAAGAAACGCCCTGGACTCGGAGGACCGGACAGAGAGGGGTTGAGATACTGGGTCTTGCATTTCAGGCATAGTTCTTTGGACCCAGCTCTGCACCAGTACTGTGCTGAGGACACGGCAGGGACCAAGACTCAGGCCAGTCGGGAAGATAGGCTGATGTCCAGACAGGGTGGACACAGGGCTGGCAGGGCTGGGATGGAGAAGCCCTGAAGGGTCAAGGAGGGCTTGCTGGCAGAGGGGCCATCTGAGGATGTGCAGGAGTTGATGGGCCGAGGGAAGAGTTTGTGTAATGGCTATGGGAGTCTGGCATGTTCAACAGCATCAACGTGTCCCAATCATACCCTTCTAAGGCCCCTTGTTGCCTATGTATAGAATTCATTCATTCATTCATTCATTCAGTCACTCCACAAACATTTCCTGAGCACCTACTGCATGCCAGGTCAACACTGAAAGTAAGTCCGCCCAGGCCCTGGCTTCACTACACCACAGCATCTATACATAGGATGACAGTCACACATGCACATAAGTTGGGAATAAATACACAGGGATCAGGGATATGGACTCTAATTTTATGTGTGTGCAAGGTGATAAAAGAGACAGATAAATATAGAAATACAGACTAGATAATATAGTTGCAAAGTACAGCGTCTTTGGTCAAAATCTGAAAGGCCCTGTTCTAAGGCTGGGAGAAATTCCTGCGTGGAGGAAATCGGTAATGCATTCAGTCACTAATAGAAAGGTTGGAGGTTCGAGTTCAGGCAGAGTAACAAGAGGTACCAGAGACCTGGCAATCTACTTCCCCAAACATCAGCCACTGAAAACCTTATTGGAGCCCAATTCTACAAGGAGTCGCCATGATTCCAGAGCCTGTATGTGCATATTTGGCGCCACCTGGTGGCAACTGTGAGAAACAACACTGTTGCGTGCTCTCAAATGGGTGCACAGCATGACAAAGTTGAATTGTCCTCATAGGTTTTTCCTAGGTGGAGATCTTAATTGGTGCAGATCGCCAAGTCTTTCTCCCTGGGATCCACTTGGTGGGCTTGACTTGCCAACATTTCATTTCACAGCAGAGCACTTCACCATTGTACCACCAGGACTCCTTGTTGTAGTTGTTGTTGTTGGGAGGTGCCATCGAGTCGGTACCGACCCATAGCGACCTTATGCACAGCAGAACGAAACACTGTCTGATCCTGGGCCAACCTCACTATTGTTGCCACGCTTGAGTCCATCGATGCTGCCACTTGGCCAATCCATCTTCTCGTTGGGGGTCTTCCTCTTTTTCTCTGACCCTCCACCTTACCAAACATGATATCCTTCTCCAGCGACTGGTCCTTCCTGACAGTATGTCCGAAGTCTGAGAGACCAAGTGTGGCCTTAGGTAGCTTGATTTTCTTCTTTCATTTTTCATTCTTTTTGTTAATTTTTATACTTGGGGTATGTTTTCTAAAATATTATTATAGATGCATGCACATAGTCCATAGATGTAGCTTTTAAGTGCCATGGAGGCAGTTCCAACTCATAGCAACCCTGCATAGGGTTTCTGAGGAGTGACTTATGGGTTTGAACCACTGCCTTGTAGTTAGCAGTCCAGTGCTTATCCCACAGCGCCACACCAGGATTTCATAGATACATAAGCATATCTATGCAATGCATGCTATGCTGTTTTTTTTTAATTGATTCATGGATGTAACCAAAGGTCCCTAGGTGGTCCAAACAATACACCTTTGGCTGGTAACAGAGGTTGGCGGTTTGAGCCCACTCAGCAGCACTGTGGAAGAAGGACCTGGTGATCTGATGCTGTAAAGAGTAAATCCACAGCCATCCTCCAGGACAAAGCGAAACTACTCCACAGGGTTTCCAAGGGAGTCCTGGTATGGCACTGTGAGTTAATGTGCTGGACTGCAAAGGTGGTTTGAACCACAAGTTTGGCGGTTCAAGCTCACCAGCAGTTCCTCAGAAACCCTGTACAGGGTCGCTGTGGGTTGGAAGCAACTCAATGGCACTTAACAACAACAATCTTTACAAAGGAATCCTATTGTGGTGCTGTAGGATCAGCACTGAACTGCTAACTGCAAGGTTAGTGGTTCAAACCAACCAGCCGCTCCTTGGAAATCCTATACAGGGCTGCTCTAAGTTGGAACTGGCTTGATGGCACTTTAACAATTTTTACAGAAGCAGACTGCCATATCTTTCTCCCATGAGGCAGCTGCCGGGTTTGAACCACTGACCCTACAGTTATCACAGCAAGCACCACTGCACCACCAGAGCTCCTTCCATAAACATTAAAGCCCAAAAAGAAAACCTATCAAGTAATTTTACTCTGTACACAGGTTGTTGTTAACTGCCGTTAAATTGGTTCTGGCTCATAGTAACCGTGTATAGGGTGGTTTCCAAGGAGTGGCTAGTGAGTTTGAACCCCCAACCTTGTGATTCAAATTGACTTGCAGTCCAGTGGGATCTCTTAAGACACAAATCAGTAACAAAAGCAAAATCAGTAGTGGAAACAGGATCAAATGTTTTCAAGACTGGTGCTCAGGGGGACAGGGCTCAGGAGTAGAGGCCCAGAGAGTTTTATCTGGAGATCTGATAAATCCATTAATGACTGATCTCTAGAGCTCTGATACTGCTCCCTTCTCCTCTCTCCTTGAAACTCCCCTTCCCCACACTCCCCTTCTCCACACTCCCCTTCCCAGCTGCTCCTCCTCTGTCTGTGCAGACTCCTCAGCTTCTGTTTTAAACTCCTAGCCTCTCAGCTTTTCTTTACTCTCAGATAAGTGGCTGCCCCCTGGGGAGCGCCCCGGCCTTTTCTGACTCTCCCATGCCAGCCCTGTCCACTCTGGGTCATCACTGACTGGGGACAGGTCTGTCTCCCCCACTAGACTACACATGAGGGCAGAGCCAGGGCTCTCTCAGACACCACCGAGTCCCCAGCATGAGGAACGTTTGGTGAATGCATGAGTGAATGAATGAATGAATGAGTGTGCTAAACACCTGGGCCTGGAGTAACCTAAAGACCAAAAGTCAAGTGCCCATCTGATAGTCTCACTGGACAGGCCCCCCTTTCTGGCTGTCTAGTTCAGCTTCAAGGAGCTCTGGTGGCACAGTGGGTTAGGCTGCTAACTACAAGGTCAGTGGTTCAAACCCATCATCCATTCTGAGGGAGAAAGATGTGACTTTCTTCTCTCTCAGATTGCAGCTCAACAAGACTTCAGGGCTTGGCTCCAATGTCCTGTTCGCAGTGAGGCCATCCATCCCTGACCACATCTTTCAACTGGTCCTCTGTCAGGGACTCATGCTGACAGAAAGGGAGTAAAATGTGGGATGGAACTTCATATTTGTAAAGAATCCAATTTACCTGTTGAGGCTGGAGAAATCCCTGAGAGGACAGCCCGAGTTACTCTTCAAACCTTGAGTCAAAACTATGCCCTGACGTCACCTTTAAACTAAATAACCCTAACCAACCAACAAACGAACAAAAGCCACTGCTCTCGAGTCAGTTTGGACCCAGAGTGGCCCTGCAGGACAGTAGATTTCCCAGACACTCAATCTTTACGGAGGTAGACAGCCTCATCTTTCTGCCACAGAGTGGCTGCTGGGTTTGAGCCACCAACTTTGAGGTTTGCAGCCATGATGCTTAACCCAGTGCACCACCAGAGCACTTTACTTTTGAAAAAGGCACAGAAAAAAAAAAATTCCTCCAGTGAAAAAACAAAGAAACAAAATCAGAAGAGGGCAATATATTAATACTAATTAAACCTAGATACTGTTCCAGTTTTTTGGTTTTTTTTTTAAATCCCAAACCAGTTGTCCTGGCATTGATTACAATTTGTGTGTTTCAGTGTTGAACTGTGCTCCAGAGGGTTTTTTAGTGAGTTTTCAAAAGGAGATAGCCAGGTCTTTCTTTCGAGGCACTTCTGGGTGGACTTGAACCACCAATCTTGGTTAGTAGCCTAGCACTGCTAAGTTAACTGTTTGTTAATCTTCCATCTACTTTTCTCTGATTGTACTCAGCTGGATGCAAGCTGGAAAACATTTACGTAGAAAAGTAAATGAAGAAAGCATTTTGTGGGTTTTTTTTTTTAGAGTGTTGTATAAATGAATACAGGAAGGAAGGAGGGTATCCCAGGGCCCTGTATTCAGGGATTGGGCAGGAAACAGAAGAAAGGGGCCCAAAGGACCAGACAGGGGGGTGGAGGTTGCGGGAGAGATGAGGATAAGGGAGGCAGGTACTTCACAGGGTACGAGGGGATTCGAATTGGGAGGGGAGAGAAGGTGAGGGAAGAGGGTGAGGTGGCCTGGGAAGAGAAGTGGGGTTGGGGGGACTGTCACCTCCACAAAGTTGGTGTGCTTGGCATCGCGGACAGTGACCACCGCATGCACCTCCTCAATCAGTTTCTGTTTCTCGTCATCGTCAAACTGCATGTACCACTTGGCCAGGCGGGTCTTGCCCGCCCGGTTCTGGATGAGGATGAAGCGGATCTGCGGTCAGACAGTGGAGGAGGAAGTGAGAGAGGTAGGCAGGTGACTGAAGGAAGGCTGAGCCAGGCAAGGGTGGTGCCCACCACTCCACCCATCCCGCTTATGGGCGATAGGACCCAGGTCTCCCAGCCACCAGCCTCCAGAGCTCTCATCTCTCCATGCTTCCCAGAGCCCAACAGGGCCCCTCTGGCCCCCCGCCCTGTCTCAGATGCTCCCAAAGCCCCAGTGGAGTGAGTTCTCTCCCACCTCAGGGCCCCGAGGCCCTGGCTTTCCTCCCACATCTCTGCGTGCTTCAGTTTCCTCTCTTGCAAAACCAGTTTCCTAAGACCCACCTGGTTTTGGTTAGATTCCATTATAAACTTAGTTGTGTGTCTGGTACATAGTAGTGTTGTTGTTGTTAAGTGCCCTTGAGTCGGTTCTGACCCATAGCAACCCTGTATAGGGTTTCCAAGGAGTGGCTGGTGAGCTTTGAACCGCCAACCTTCAGGTTCAAACCAACCTTGCACTCCAGCACATTAACCCACAGCGCCACACCAGGACTCATGGTACATAGTGGTGATGGTAGTTATATGCCATGGAGTCAGTTCAGACTCATAGTGACCCTGTACAGGGTTTCCAAGGCTGTAAATCTTTACGGGAGCAGAAAGTCTCATCTTTCTCCTGCAAAACAGCTGGTAGTTTCGAACTGCTGACCTTGCGGTTCGCAGCCCAGTTCATAACCACTATGCTACCAGAGAGGCTTCAAAAAGTTCATGGTAAAAGTTCATTATCTTTTCATTCCATTTTCCCACCAGCTTTCTGAAGCTCCCACACATAGTCAGACAGCTGTGCAGAGATCACTATTCAATTTCAGAATATCAGGATTACGGTGCTCATTTTGGGTGAGCACTCATTACTCCAAAGAGAAATCCTGTACCCATCTGCACTCATTCCCCATTCTCTCTCCCCCTAGTTCCTGGCAACCAGGAATCTCCTTTCTGTCTCTAAGAATTTGCTTATGCTGGACATTTCATAGAAGACGTTTCACACACTCTGGAATCTGGCTTCTGTCATTTAGCATGATGTTTTCTAGGTTCATCCACGTTTTAGCAATGATCACACTTCTTTTTACTGTGGAATACTATTCCCTTGTCTATATGCCACATTTTATTCATCCTTTTATTCACTGATGGATATTTCGGTTGTTTCCCTCTTTTGAGTATTATGGAACAGTGCTGCTTATGACCATTCATGGGCATGTTTTCATTTCTCCTGGATACTATGTTTTCCCCATATAACACGCCCACACATATAGTGTGCATAAAATATAACAAGCTGTTTGCAAAACCTGTATAACGCGCGTGTTATTTGTGTAAAAATTTGGCATATACCTAGGAGGGGAGAAAGGACCTGGTGATCTGCTCTGGGAAGATGGTTGTTATTGCTGCTAAGCGTTGTCGAGTCAGTTCCAATTCATAGTGACCCCATAGAGGGTTCCCAAGGACAGGCTGGTGGCTTTGCTCTGCCGACCCTACAGTTCAAACCACGCTTGTGGTCTACTGCTCTATCCTACAGCGTCACACCAGGGCTCCCTAGGAAGTCCTTTGGGGGCAGTTCTACTATGTCTTAAAGTCACTGTGAGGCAGAATCGATGCCGCAGCCCACAACAACAACAACATGATAACTCTTTATCTTACCTTTTCCAGAAATGACTCATGGTTTTTCAAAGTGGCTGCTACTTTTAAAGTAACTTAAAGGAGACCTGATGTCACAGAGGTTAAGTGTCCAGCTGATAAATGAAAGGCCAGCTGTTCAAACTCACCAGACGCTCTGTGGAAGAAAGAATGGGGCAGTCTGCTTGTTTAAAGAAAACATAGTGGGGCAGTCCTACTCTGTGTTCCAGAATCACTGAGAGTCAGAATCGATCTGACAATAATGAGTTCGGGTTGGTATTTAACTGCTTAGCGTCTCTGTTTATTCACCTGTAAACAGTGTTACAAATAATGCTGTTCACGTAAGGGTGTAATGAGGAACAAACAACATGAGAAGTGCTCTAAGGAGCACCTGGCCGTGTAAGAGTTTTGTGTCAGCTATGATAACCCACGTCAGTGATGACTAGGAAATGTACTGTGGTTCTGAAAAGCCACTGAATGGATACCACATGTGCTTAGCATAATGCCTATGATATGCTGAGCATCTGTTACAATTACCTGTTGGCTCTGTGGAATAAAGCACTGGACCACAAGGTCGGTTTGAACCACAGGGTTAATGGTTCAAACTCACCAGCTGCTCCTTGGAAACCTTACACAGGGTCACTACGAGTTGGAACCAACTTGATGGCACTTAACAACAACAACAACATCATTATGATTGAGAGGCATTTAACCAAGTTGCTAAGAACCCAGACTTTGGAGCCAGAGTGAATCCTGATACTGCCAACTACTGGCTGTGTGTTCAAGGACCAATCACTTAACTTCTCTCAGTTTTCCTCTCTATATAATGGACAGAATGAGAAGCACTCCCTCACAGAACCGCTGTTTGGGTCAATCAACACAATAGATATAGTACAGCCTGTATTGAATGTTATCTAAGTACTTACTCTTTTTGGCATTATAATTCATCGTAATTTGACAATGACAAAACTATGGTCCCAGCTCACCTACTAGGAAGCTTGCCTCTGGGCTCCATTCTGTCTGACATAAGCACACTTATACCCATTTTACAGATGATGAAAGTGAGGCTCAGGAAAAGGAAGTCTCACAGCCAGAAAGCTGAGCTGGGAGTCCAAAGGCTTTCTTCTGAACCCCTTTACCAGGACTTGTGGGTGCCTTTAATTGAAATCCACTCTCTTTCCTAAAGCATATTCACCACACAATCCATCCCCTCCTCCCCCAACCACCCAGACTGGACGGGAACAGGATATTACACTCTACTTCCAAGAACCCCTTCTGCTGAGCCAGGGAAAATCACTTCCTGGCAGGGCAGGGGTCCTGGGCAAGAAGGGAAGGGGTATGGGAGGAGGGCACACAGGCAGCCAGAGCCTGGGGTAGGGGTGACGACGGCAGAGCTGGAGATAAGTGGGGCACGAGGGAATGGGAGCTAGAAACAAGACCACAGAGCTGGGGTGGGGTGGGGTGCGGGAACTCAGCCACGTATCCCCAAGTTCCCTCATATGCCTCCTTCCTGTTTCTCTTCCCAATTAGAATCTTTCCACCTCTGAGGACCCACCCTGACAAGTCCCTCAAACTTCTGGGTGGCCCCTCAGCTTCCCTATCTCCAAGTCTCCTCCCCTGGAGAGAGTCTCTTTGGTTTTCACTCCGCTTCAATCCCTTCTCCCAGTTCTTACCTACTCTTTTATAAGGCATCCCTTTTCTGACTCAAGGAGCCCTGGTGGTGCTGTGGACTAAGTGCTGGGTTAGAGGTTGCAGGTTCAAACCCATCAGCCGCTACAAGGGCGAAAGATGAGGCTGTCTACTCCTGTAAAGATGGACAGTCAAGGAACCCCTATGAAGTAGTGCTTTGTTGTCTGTAGTGTTGCTATGACTGGGAACAGACTTGATCCATAGCAATGGGTTTGGTTTGGTCTCTGCTTGAAGGCCTCCTCCCTAATTCCAAATACCACATCTGGCCTCCTAGAACCCTGCTGTGTTGACACTTTCTTTCTCCTTTCAGCACTTTTCTCACCTCCCTGCTCAAAAAACTCCCATCTTAAGGGGAGGAGTGCTGCCCACTTTCAAAATTCAACACCCACGCCAACTGCCTGCCCTCAAGAGCCTCCTCCATCTTTCTCCCTATCCCACTCCTCTTAGAAAGACCCACTCCAATGCTTCCTACTAATTTCTGGTGCACTCCCTACCTCCAACATAAAGTTGGAGGTTCAAACCCATCTGCCGCTCCTCGAAACTCTATACAGAGTCACTAGGAGTCGAAGCCAATTCAACAACACTTAACAATTCCCTACCTCAGAACCCTCTCCCCCTTCGCAGTTCAAGTTCCCTACCTGGAAAATCCCATTCACTGCCCTCCCCTTCTCTCCAGTTTGATCCTGCCCCTATTTCTGCATCTTCTCTCCACCTATCAGGTCAGACTCCTGTGAGGCCGCTGTCCCCAAATCCAGTCTTCCATTTGTCTCCAACGCTCCCGCCTCACCCTAAAGGTGATACGCCCTATGCTTCTTCGCTCCAATGCCCTCGCCCAGAGACCCTGCCTTCGCTTCCTCTCCTGTTTCATCTACCCTGTTTCAAGAACACAAAATTCCTCCAATGTCCCCCGACTCGCATTTCCCCTCTCCTCTCCAATGACCCTTTGCCTCCGTACCCCCGGCGACCCCCGGTGACGACCTGGTATCTCCTCCCTTCCCGGTTTTTGAACCACCGAATCCAGAGAGCCCGCGCTCGGCCCAGACCACCGCACCGCGGCAAGTGGGGGGGCTGTCATCGCTCCACAGAGCTCAGGTGACTGCACCAGGACCCTCTTCCGCCCGTCCCCGGCGTGGGCGCGCCCCTGTTACCATGGCGACCCCCGTCCGGACTCCAGCGGCCCTGGTCCCGTGGCAACTGTGAGGGTCCGGCTCCGGCTGCAGATCGGGGCGCAGGACTAGAGTGGACTTCCGGCAAGGGGACCCGCTGGTCGTCTCACGCAAGACCCTCTGGGAGTTGTAGTCCTGCACGTCTGGGCTGCAAGCCAGCGAATGAAGCCGAACCTTCTTCCCGGCATGCTGAGCGATTGCCCTTTTCTTACCACACGATTCAGTTCCCAAATGCATGCTGGGAGTTCCCGATGTGCAAGGCAATCAGCAAAGCGGGCCTTGCTTTCGGCAGGAAATGTAGTACGGTGGCCCCACCCACGCTTCTCAGAGAGAAGGGGATGCTGGGAATAATAGTTTGGGGAGATTTTTTTGTTTTAAATTACTTGTTGTCGTTGTTAAGTGTCATAGTTCCGACTCATAGTAGCCATGTATAAGGTTTCCGAGGCGCGGCTGTTGAGTTTGAACCACTGACCTCGGGGTTCAAACTGACACTGTGGTCCAAGGCTTATCCTACAGCGCCACACCTGGAAACGATGTTTGTGGTTGAAGTGCCATCAAGTCAGTTCTGACTCATAACGACCCTTTTGTAGGATTTCCAAGGAGCAGCTGGTGGGTTTGAACTGCCTGTGGTTCGGAGTCCAGTGCTGATCCTACAGCATTACACCAGGTAACCATGTAGGGAGCTAGAAATGTAACTTGTCTTTGGTTAAATTATGTTGAAGGTTTCTCTGTGAAAGAGGAATAGTAGTTTAAGAACAGGAATTTGGGAGTGAAAATTAAAGTTAGTCTAAATCCAGCCATTGTACTTCCTAGCTGTCTTTTGACCAGGGTTGTTGTTGTTAAGCACCATGGAGTCAGTTCTGACTCATAATGACCCTGTCTTGGGTTTCTGAGGAGCAGCTGGTGGGTTTGAACTGCAGACCTTTCGGTTTAAAACCACCCTGTGGTCCAGGGCATTATCCTGCTGCACCCCACGGGGCTCCTTGGGCCAGGGATTCACCTCTTAATCTCAATTTACTCATCCCTAAAGGAGGGAGTGGTGTCTTATTCATGTAAACAAAGGTTTAAATCTTGAAATACAATACTGTCTGTATTAGGATATTACCTATACTCCTACAAAGAAGACCAGTTAATACAACTATTACTCAAATTTACATACCAACCAACAAAGCCAGTGATGATGAAATTGAAGAATTCTACTAACTTCTTCAGAGTCCTGAGTAACACTGTAGTTAAACCCTGGACGGTAAGGGCGGTTTGAACTGCAAGTTTGGCCGCTCAAACTCGGAAACTCTATACAAGGTCGCTATGAACTCAGTGTACAACACTTAACAACAAACAACTTCTTCAGTTGAAATTGACCAAACATGTGATCAAGATGCTGGTGTTTGGACTGTGAAAATTGGAAACAAAGAGGGATCAGTAGTTAGAAAATACAGCCTTGGTGATAGAAATGACCACTGGAAATGACAGAATTTTTGCAAGACCAATGACATATTCATTAAATACCCTTTTTCAACAATATAAACAATAACTATACACTTGGACCTCACCAGATGGAATACACAGGAATCAAATTGACTATTAACAATAGGAAGAGAAAATGGATTAGCTTAATATCAACAGCCAAAATAAGGGCAGGGGACGACTGTAGAACAGACCATCAACTACTAATGTGCACATTCAGACTTAAGCTGGAAAAAATTAAAACAAGTTCATGAGAGTCAAAATAGTGACCTTGAGTATATTCCACTTGAACTTAGAGACCATTTCAAGAACTGGTTTGATGCATTAAACACTTAATGATCAAAGACCAAAGAAGTTGTGGGATGACATCAAGCAAATCATACATGAAGAAAGAAAAAGGTCATTAAAAAGACAGGAATGAAAGAAAAGAACAAAGTGGATGTCTGAAGAGACTTTGAACATGCTCTTATGCACAGAGTAGCTAAAGCAAATAGCAGCAATGAGATAAAAGAGCGGAACAGAAAATCTCAAAGATCAGCTCGAGAAGTCAGAGTCAAATATAATGAAAAGTGCAAACACCTGGAGTTAGAAAACCAAAAGAGAAGAACATGCTCAGCATTTCTTAACCTGAAGTAACTGAAGAAAAAAAATTCAAGCCTCCACCTGAAATACTGAACGATGTAGAAAACATAACAAGATGGAAGGAACACACAGAGTCAGTGTACCAAAAAGAAATTGTTTGATGATCAACCATTTAAGAGGTAACATACCATCAAGAGCCAATGGTACTGAAGGAAGAAGTCCAAATTGCACTGGAAGCACTGGCGAAAGGCAAGGCTTCAGGAATTGATGGAATATAAATCAAAATCTTTCAACAAACAGATGCAGTAGTGGAGATGCTCTCTCATCTATGCCAAGAAATTTGGAAAACAGTTACCTGGCCGACTGATTGGAAAAGATCCGTATTTGTGCCCATTCTAAAGAGAGGTGACCCAACAGAATGTGGAAATCATCTAACAATGTCATTAATATCACATGCAAGTAAAATTTTGCTGAAGGTTATTAAAAAATGGCTACCATAATATATCTACAGGAAACTACCAAAAATTCAAACGAGATTCAGAAGATGATAGAGCATGAGGGATATTGCTGCTGACATTAGATGGATTAGAAAGCAGAGGATTCCAGAAAGATGTTTACTTGTGCAATGGTTTTTGGCTGTGTGGATCATAACAAACTACGGATGATATTGTGGAGGATGGGTATTCCAGAACACTTAATTGGGCTCATGAGGAAACTGTACATAGACCAAGAGGCAGTTAGTCATTCAAACAGAACAAGGGGATGCTGAATAGCTTAAAATCAGGAAAGGTGTGCACTAGAGTTGTATTTTCGCCGTACATATTCAATTGTATGCTGAGCAGTTAATCCAAGAAGCTGGATTATACGAAGAAGAGCATGGCATCAGGATTGGAGGAAGACTCATTAACCTGCGATATGCAAATGATACAACCTTGCTTGCTGGAAGCCAAAAGGCTTAAAATACTTACTGATGAAGATCAAAGACCACAGCTTTCAGTATGGATTGTACTATAATGTACAGAAACAAAAATCCTCACAACTGGACCAATAAATAACATCATGATAAATGGAGAAAATAGTGAAGTTGTCAAAGACTTCATTTCACTCAGATCAGACAACAACACTCACGGAAGCAGTAGTTGAGGAAATCAAACGATGTGTTGCATCAGGCAAATCTGTAGCACAAGACTTCATTAAAGTGTTCAAGAGTCAAGATATCAGTTTGAGGAGTGACGTGCACCTGACCCAAGCCATGGTATTTTCAATAGTTTCATATGCATGTAAAAGTTCAACAAATAAGGAAGACAATAGAAGAATTGATGCATTTGAGTTATGGTGTTGGAGAATATTAATAAAAGTACCAAGAGATCTGTGTTGGAAGAAGTACAGCCAGAATGCTTCTTAGAAGCCAGGATGACAAGACTTCATCTCTCATACTTCAGACAAGTTAGGAGGAGGAACCAGTTCCTGGAGAAGGACACCATGCTTGGTAAAGTGGAGGGTCAGTGAAAAATAGGAAGACCTCAGTAAGATGGATTCACGCAGTGGCAACAGCAATGGGCTCAAGCGTAACAATTGTGAGGATGGTGTTTCGTTCTGTTGTGCATAGGGCAGCTATGAGTAGGCACCAACCTGGCAGCGCCTAACAACAACAA